AGAAGAAGCTTCAGTTGAATACGTTCAAAGTGATGTTCCCCGAAATTCACAGACAAATTGTCAGTTAAATCAGCAAAACAGCTGACACACAGAGTTCAGGGGCAGTTGCCCAGTTGGTAAGTCAGCCCTGGTGGCAGGAGCTTTGATTAATAAAAGAGAATTTGTTTTAAGTTATAGATGCCATTAGTGCACATCTTAAATGCAGCCCTTGTAAAGCAGGACTTACACTGGTCCACATTTCAGCAAACAGCTAATGAACTCTGCTTTTGTTACTGTAGAGTACATTAGACTAAAATAGGCAAACTAAAGGTGGTGCTTTCACTCTTATTTCTGCATGTTGGCGCGACATTAAATGTGAAGTTTTGGTATGTTGGTGCCCCCAACTGGCAGAAAAATGTAATGTTACAGACTGAAACTGATTTACTACCACATATCTTATAATGTAGCATCTAACACAATATTTACAGATCAGACCAGTCTGTGTTTGCATTCTGAGTCCGAATCTCAAGATGCGATTCATCACTCTTCCCATGCACAGATATTTTAGCACATTAGAGTTGCGGTGGGCAAATACAGAAAAGCCACTGTGTGTCTTTAACAGTCTTTTCTATTTACATCCTCACAGAGTGCCAGTCTGATAGGGACATTTCACATTGAAATCTAGCTTAAAGCAGCTTTAGCTTTTCCAGCTCTCAACAATGGCATCCATTTTGGTTGTTTTTGTTGGTTGTTGTAAGAAAGCTGTCATTATATCGAGTGACCTATACTTGTGATCAATACCTGACAAACTTAGTTTTATAAACCCTAAAGTAACTTTAAAAACCACCCCAAACCTACACAGGGGATTCACTCCCACATGTCCCCACATATTTTTATCTGACCAGGCATTTCTGGTAGCTGAGACAGATCATTGTTCTGAGGAGAGGATCAGCATTTTCATATTCTTCACACCCTAGCAAATTATTCAGACACTCACTAATGCGTCTCACACATAATTGTAAATGATGTGACAACAACACTCAGTTCAAACATGGACGTATGGATGCTTGCTGCCCCCAGGTGGTTGCTCTGGGTATTGTTCTTACATCTAATATTGTATGAGCAATAATCATATTATTTTAATCCATGTAAACAGAAAATGCAATCCATAGCCACAATTTATGGGATTCTTTATTCTAGTATGCCAGCATGTAGACCAGCCTATAGATTACATCATTGTTGCCTACTACTAGTTCTGCCTAAGATTCTAACAATGATAATGAACTTTTTACTAATTTCAAGTAGTAAAGTATGTAATAAAGTCTAAGTTACACTTAAAAGAGGTTGGAAAATAAAAATACCATAAGCACAGTTACAGAATAAAGCAAGATTGTACATTATTTACAGTTGTATGTCTTATAGCAGTTCCACATGCTAACTTCAGCCTCATGTTAAGAGAAATGGTTGTAAAATACAATTACTTTATAACATGAGAATTATATTTAGGCTATATTTACTGAAGTTGTATCAAAAATGTTCCTTTTTTCTGATCATATTCTGTCTCTAAAAGTCAAGAAGAGTAAAAGGCCTGCTCACACCACACAGTGACAGATCAACATCTGTGCTATTCGCTAAAATCTGACAGTCAGTCGGTAGTTGTGCCCTTCAGTCAGGGTTGTATTGTATGTAAGTTTTATAGAAGTAGGGAACAAGCTCAGTCAGTTAGCAAATTTGTTAGGCCAGTCTCTAACACAGCAATGAGTTCACACAGTATATTCAAAAGATGTTTTTATATCATCAACTCTGTCTCACAGCAAGTGAAACTCTGTTAAACAGAAGCACAGGTGAGGCACACCTTAGGAGCTACAAAAGCTTCCTAATTTTTTCACTGGTTGTCTGTTCAGTCAAAGGGCAGCACTTGCTATCAGCCCTGAAAATGATTGTGGATTTATTTTGTCCCAGCAGTCAAATCCACTGTTCACATTGATTCTATTTGAGTGGATTTCAATGTATCATTTATTTTTTAAATGCTGGGGTGACAATGCCTTTAAAAATGATATCCTTAAACCCGCGTTTACTGTCTTTTTGGCAGCAGAAACAAGCTGCAAACACTCTCACTGACACATTATCACCTTTTCAGTTTATATGATGAAATTGAAACAGTTGCTTATTGACACAACCAGCAGACACATTAGCATTCTGTCTGCCACTTGGTAGTAGGAATGTAGTGCACAGTGGGTTTATTAGGGCTTTCTTAGTGAAAACTGCCTGTTGCATCTAAAGACAATGAGAGAACTGAGAGTAAAATCTCCCTTTTTTGCACTATTACTTTATGTCCTATGTTTATATTGTATATATTTTTTATATTTTTTACACTGTTTTTGCACTGCTATTGGA